CCATCGCCACTGCCAGAGGGGAGACGAAGAGAAATTGGAGCTTAAAAAGGGAAGTCTGGAGATGCAAGGATTCATTTGGCTGTGCAGCGTCCAAAATTAAGTTAAAAACACTGTGTGGACTGTAATTTTTGTTTCCATTTTTTAACAACCGCCACATCCAATTTCTGGCACAGATAGGCTGATACTTAAAGCAAAAGTGTCATTATCAGTATGTGTTGGGGAAAAAAAATAAAAAGCAGTATTTTGTACAAGTTCATTGCTTTAAGAAGTTGGGAAGAATTATGCTAATAGAATATGATTAAATACTAGCAAATGGTCTGTTGTCTTTGAAATAAAACTAATATTCCTTTTAAGGCCCAATACCCTTCCTCTTAACTGGTCCCTAGCTTGCTAGAGAGTCAAAATGTTACTGTGTACAATGTTGAGAAAAGTGGGATCTAAACTATCCCAAGCATATTTCCAGTTTTATTGCATAGTAACAACAGAAACCAGGTTTGATTAGCAAGACATGAATGCATTTTCAGAATCTGCAAGTTCTCTGTTACTTGCTAGCTGGTAAACAAATAAATAATGCAGAGTGAATAGAAACTCATCTCTGCTCTGAGCTGTATAATGTCATTGTTGCAATTTAATTCGGCTCTAATGAGATTAGAGTTTGCAGATGTGTAGTCCAGTACTTTTGTAAAGATACATTAGCATACATATGAACTACAACAGCAAGTCTCCATTTTGCTGACTAAGACTAGACTGTCAACACTTTTACTTGAGCCTGCAAAAGTATAATGAAGACTTTTTTTCTTTTTTTTTTTTTTTTTTCCCCTTATTCCCTCAATTAGATCCTCATGACCTCCAAAGATGAGAGACCAGGAGCCACTCGCCTCATACTTTTTCTGACAGAAACAGCAAGAGGAGCTGAGGAAGCAGGGAGCGGCAGCTGGCCATCTAGATGGGTTTGAAGCTTCTGCTAGGTGCAGCTGTATCTTTTGGTACTTAAATCCTTCTAAAAGCGTACGTCTTTCTCCAAGTGAATGGTGACTTGCATTCCCTGTTTCTCCCTTAGGCAAGTATGAAGTGCCACACAGTTACTTAAGGCAGATGGTAAAACTGTGGCCTGTCCCTCAGTACTCAGAGCAAAATGCAGAGAGACATCACCCATAGGGCTAAGTTGTACATGGCAAAAATAAACATAAAGTGGCACCTTGGCATTTCAAGTTGTATTAACAACAGCCACCACCACCACCACCACATGGACATTTCAACTGAAAACCAGCAAACATTCATAAAAATCAGAAAACTCTATCCCCTTGAATTTTAGAATTTTTATAGAAAATTTAAAGGCTTATTTACAGGATGGGAAGATTTTGAAGGAAAAACAAGAACTAAACACCATCTTTGATAATGACCTTTTCTGAAAGAACCCAGTGTGGAACCAGAAGTACTACCTTTAGACTTCATTGAATATTCTCAAATTCCCCTTTTCAGTCTTTTTTGTGCAAGATATACCACAGGCTTTATGGTGCACCTGTACAGCTGCTTAGTTGGAGTAGCTGAAAGAACAGACCTAGACCTTTTTGATTAAGTCTAGGAGACATTTTGTTTAAACCTCAGCTTGCTAATTTTGTTGCAGTGATTTTGTCCCCATGTATTGAAGAAGAAAAAGAGAATTCACTGCCCCAAGAGGCCCAGAGGGACAGTGAAACGTCCATCCATGGCGATACTAATAACTCGGCTGGACTCAGCCCTGAGCAACCTGTGAAGGATGCTTCCCTCTCTTTTGCACTGAAGGTTGGTCCAGATAACTGCCAAGGTCCCTTTTGGCTGAAGTTATGTTACAGCTGTAGGTCTCTAGAGTATGCCATCGTGCCCGTTGGTCAGCCACCCGGAGGGAATTCATTAGCTGCAGCCATCACACATCGCAGCCACTGAAATTGCATGACCCCCATCCTCGGCGTAGCTGCAGGTTTCTAAGCAGCTTCCAGTCAAGAGGGGCAGAGGGAACTTACCAGCTCATCCAGCAAACTCATAGGGTGGAAGGGGTGGCAAGGGTTAAGAGAAGAAAACCCATCTGGCTGTTGTTCACCGTGAAGTTATAATACTGGTTTTGAATGTGTTTCAGGAAAATGATTTATTATCAACAGAGGAACAATGGAAGTAAGTTAATTTACATATTGCTTGCAAATGCTTTGTTAAATGAATTGTACATTTACAGCAATACCAGAAACCTTTAACGTTCTGTTCACAGAGGTGTAGTTAGTAAAGAATTTTCTTTTCTTGAAAAGTTTTACTGGAAGTTTTTATTCTGTCAGTTTAATCAGTTCCTCAGCAAAACAAAATAGGGAACAGCTTTACAGCGATCATTACAGAGATTGCCGTTGTAGTATAACATTTTCCTTCAGGCACAATAAATATCATGGTTCCTGTCCTTGCAAGACTAATATAAAGAAATGGTCCTCTAGCCGTCATTTTAATGCCTGCTTG